TATGATACTTAAACATAATACGTGCTTCGTATGCACCAATATATTCGCCGCTAAGGACCTCAGCTGTTACCGCGCTAGATCATTAATTTAATCATTAATCAATCATCCTGCTAAGAATACTTTGACTATGATTCTTGACAGGAGTTTAGACATCGGTTAACTGAATTACTTAAACGGTACGGAAAGATAAATTTTTAAGGAGCAATGGAAGTACAGACACTGCGAAGGTGGTTTCGAACGCCCAGTCTTTTCCAAATGCTTCGAAATAATATCGTACTGTATTTAAATGTATTGAAAAGCCACTGCAAAAAGAGGAAGTTGTTACGGAAATTATTGTCACATGCATTTTTTTTTTTTTTTTTGTCTAAGGAAGTACAAGGAATGAGTTTTAATGTGTACAACTTAATGATCACTGTAACCCGAGGCTAGAAAACTGTAAATAGTCAAGAGAGAAAACCAGAGAGTAATAGATGAGAAGGTACAGTGACATAAGACTATTTTTTCAGTCTTTCATTATATTTAATTAGTGAAAAGCGTATTTTACATTTCCACAACAGTTACCTAAAACTGCATAAGATGCACTTTCATACTTTGTATTTATGTACATACAGCATAGTATATATGATATATGTATGTGTGTGAACATATATATATACACATGTATATATACATGTGTATTTATATTCATATATGTATGTGTGAGTGCATACACACACATTCACAATATAATATATATATACGTATAGATTGATATTCAACTTACGAAAGCAGGTAATCTTTCAATTTTTGACGGTGAAAACGATACAATATAAAAATAAGGCTTACATACATATACGTATATATATGTAGATAAATATATACATGCATACATGTATATGTGTGTGTGTATATGTAGGTGCGTGGTTGTTTGTGCGTAGGGATATATATCTATATCTATCTATATGTATATGTACATGCATTTAAATGTATATATATCCACATATATGTATATTAATATATAAAAACATACAACTGTATATATCTATACATATGTATGTGTGCGAATGTATTTGTCCCTATCTATATCTATATACCTACATACCTATATGTAAACACCCGCGCACGCATGCATTTATACTCTTATATCTATATATATATTTACATATGTATGTCTATTCACAGACACATATGTACGTACAGTCAACCAATCTTTTTTTCATAATTTGCAGTAACAGAAACTGACAGAAGTGAAACATTAATCCATGATTTTGAGTTATAGATCATGGAAAATCGTGATGAATATTTTCAGTTCTCAGCAACACGAGGATTGTGTTCCTATTTGTATATATAAGTGCGGCAGTGAGGTTTATAAGTTTTAAACATTCGTTTATGTAGTTTATTTGAGAAGTAAATTAGGAAATGGATTTTTGTCATTCTTTTCAAGATCGATTACAAGATATGGAAGTAGGAGTCCTGTGTCAAGGTTATCTTCAACCATAATAGCTCCTGCGGTATCCCCCGTAGCCGTAGCCCCCGTATCCATGACCTCCGTAGCCGTATCCTCCATATCCCAATCCACCGAAGCGACGGAAGCCAGGGTCAGCCGCGGGGTCAGGGTCAGCTACGGGGTCAGGCATTGCGCTGGTCCAGCTCACCAGGCATGCCAGGGCCACCACCAGGGCCAGAGCCATCGAAAGCTGTAGATATGGAATAAAAAAGGTTATTTGCAAGAAACGAAAAATTCTCTTCATTAGAAATTTTACATGTAATTTGAAAGATAAATACTACTGCTTCTACTAGTAGCAATTTTGCAACTATACTGATATCCATCTGTGTTGAGATCTGTACAGACTATATGAGAGGTAAATATAGAGAAATAGGCATGCGATTTATCCATATGAGTCATTGTCATAATTGTTATATATTCCTGTTTATATATATATACTTACCAGCTGAGACAAACAAACAAACAAACAAACAAAAAATGATTTTGAGATTATGAATTCTAGGTCATGGAAGAATTCAAGATGAATATATTCATAATTTCTTAAAAAACACTTTATGTTTGATACATATTCATATTTGCATGTACAAATTCTTGTACACTTTCGAGGATCGTAATAGTTCGAAACATTGATTCATGAAGTTTATTTGAGAAGAAAAACAGGAAGTTAAGTTCATGTAGCATTGTTTAGGATGTTCTTTTCAAAAGCGGGAAGTAGGATATCTTTATCCGTAAAAGCCACCGCGATATCCTCCGTAGCCGTAGCCCCCGTAGCCACGACCTCCGTAGCCGTATCCACCATATCCCAATCCACCGAAGCGACGGAAGCCAGGGTCAGCCGCGGGGTCAGGGTCAGCCACGGGGTCAGGCTGAGGCATGGCGCTGGTCCAGCTCACCAGGCATGCCAGGGCCACCACCAGGGCCAGAGCCATCGAGATCTGAAGACATGAAAAGAAAGGCAGGTGAAAAATGTGAGAAAGGCATTTTTTTATTTTTTTTTTTAAATTATAGATTTGATTTGGAAACGATCTCAAGGTAATGCCTCGCATGAAACGAAAGATTAATATTTCTGTTTTAACTACTACTGGTAGTAATATCAGTAGTAGTGACGATAATGGTAATGGTAATAATGATTACATAATTTATGCAACTAATACTTTGCAAGAAGCAGCATAAATAATAATAATAATAATTAACCCATATGATCATTGTCATATATTCATAATTACGTATGTACTCACCAGCTTCATGTTGAATGTTCTTGCTGTGAACTCAGCGAAGACTATGCGTCGACAGCAAGGAGTCACGCCTTATATACGTCACAGGACAACAGCCAAGGCTACTCGCGTAGTGCTTTCCAGGTCATTATATATAAAAATATCTAATATGTCCATAAACATAAATGCGGACACACCCACACACAAACGCACACACACACTTACAAAGAAACGCAAACACGCATACCTACACCTGTATATCGCTATGTATTGTACAAATTTATATAGGACTTCAAACAAGGTCATGTATACATGTCAATAAGTACCTGTATATAAATACTCATACGTACAAATATGTATGTACGCATGCAAAAGCGGGCAAACCCACACACACACGCACACACACACAGATGTCTCGCTATATACCGTACATATTTAGACACTCGACTCAAATAAAATTGTACATACATGTAACGGAGATGCATGCACATTAATACGTATCTGCAAATACTCACTGTATACACACATCCATACAGATATATATGTACGCAAGCAAAGCAAACGCAAAGCATTTTCAATATAACTAAATAAGAAAAAAAGTAAATATAAGCACATGGATACATTATTTTACGTATTTATAAATTTATGTAGATCTTATATGGCATCATGATACATATGATACACAGTGTATGTATATATGTCTATGGATCTCTCTGTACATATACAATAACACATACATAGAGTCGTCTATGTGAATATGCGTGTGTGCATGCACGTATATGTGTTCAAATGAATGTATATTACAATTTTGGTTTATTATGTCATCTTTGGTAATTTTAAATACAAAATAGATGATCTGAAAAAACCGTGTGTGGTGGTTTAATGGATAAGTAGATAAAAAAAATCCGAGAAAGTGTTCGTTTAAATTATTCTATATGATACTTATACATAATACGTGCTTCGAATGCACCAATATATTCGCCGCTAAGGACCTCAGCTGTTACCGCGCTAGATCATTAATTTAATCATTAATCAATCATCCTGCTAAGAATACTTTGACTATGATTCTTGACAGGAGTTTAGACATCGGTTAACTGAATTACTTAAACGGTACGGAAAGATAAATTTTTAAGGAGCAATGGAAGTACAGACACTGCGAAGGTGGTTTATAACGCCCAGTCTTTTCCAAATGCTTCGAAATAATATCGTACTGTATTTAATGTATTGAAAAGCCACTGCAAAAAGAGGAAGTTGTTACGGAAATTATTGTCACATGCATTTTTTTTTTTTTTTTTTTTGTCTAAGGAAGTACAAGGAATGAGTTCTAATGTGTACAACTTAATGCTCACTGTAACCCAAGGCTAGAAAACTGTAAATAGTCAAGAGAGAAAACCAGAGAGTAATAGATGAGAAGGTACAGTGACATAAGACTATTTTTTCAGTCTTTCATTATATTTAATTACTGAAAAGCGTATTTTACATTTCCACAACAGTTACCTAAAACTGGATGCACTTTCATACTTTGTATTTATGTACATACAACATAGTATTTATGATATATGTATGTGTGTGAATATATATATATATATACACACATGTATATATACATGTGTATTTATATTCATATATGTATGTGTGAGTGCATACACACACATTCACAATATAATATATATATACGTATAGATAGATATTCAACTTACGAAAGCAGGTAATCTTTCAATTTTTGACGGCGAAAAGATAGAATATAAAAATAAGGCTTACATACATATACGTATATATATGTAATAAATATATACATGCATACATGTATATGTGTGTGTGTGTGTATATGTAGGTGCGTGGTTGTTTGTGCGTAGGGATATATATCTATATCTATCTATATGTATATGTACATGCATTTAAATGTATATATATCCACATATATGTATATTAATATATAAAAGCATACAACTGTATATATCTATACATATGTATGTGTGCGAATGTATTTGTCCCTATCTATATCTATATACCTACATACCTATATGTAAACACCCGCGCACGCATGCATTTATACTCTTATATCTATATAAACATGTACATATATATGTCTATTCACAGACACATATGTACGTACAGTCAACCAATCTTTTTTTCATAATTTGCAGTAACAGAAACTGACAGAAGTGAAACATTAATCCATGATTTTGAGTTATAGATCATGGAAAATCGTGATGAATATTTTCAGTTCTCAGCAACACGAGGATTGTGTTCCTATTTGTATATATAAGTGCGGCAGTGAGGTTTATAAGTTTTAAACATTCGTTTATGTAGTTTATTTGAGAAGAAAATTAGGAAATGGATTTTTGTCATTCTTTTCAAGATCGATTACAAGATATGGAAGTAGGAGTCCTGTGTCAAGGTTATCTTCAACCATAATAGCTCCTGCGGTATCCCCCGTAGCCGTAGCCCCCGTATCCATGACCTCCGTAGCCGTATCCTCCATATCCCAATCCACCGAAGCGACGGAAGCCAGGGTCAGCCGCGGGGTCAGGGTCAGCTACGGGGTCAGGCATTGCGCTGGTCCAGCTCACCAGGCATGCCAGGGCCACCACCAGGGCCAGAGCCATCGAAAGCTGTAGATATGGAATAAAAAAGGTTATTTGCAAGAAACGAAAAATTCTCTTCATTAGAAATTTTACATGTAATTTGAAAGATAAATACTACTGCTTCTACTAGTAGCAATTTTGCAACTAATACTGATATTCATCTGTGTTGAGATATGTACAGACTATAATGAGAGGTAGTAAATATAGAGACATAGTCATTCGATAAATCCACATGAGTCATTGTCATAATTGTTATATATTCCTGTTTATATATATACTCACCAGCTTCATGTTGAGATTATGTTCTTGCTGTGAACTCAGCGAAGACTATGCATCGAAAGCGAGGAGTCACGCCTTATATATGTCACAGGACAACAGCCAAGGCTACTTGCACAATAATTTCCAAAATGTCCTTGAATATACAAAATATCTAGATATAGATGCGGACACACCCACACAAACGCAAACGCACACATACACAAAGACGGATACACTCACACACGTGTGCATGGCTATATACTGTTTATATATAAATATTCGACTTTCAGCAAAAGTAAACATACATTTTCATATATACCTGTACCTGCATTTATATTCATACACACATGTTCACATTTATATACATATACACATATAAACACAAACACCAACGCATATTTATTTTCAACGTATCCACAATAAGAATACAGCACACACACACACACACACACACACACACACACACACACACACACACACACACACACACACATATATATATATATATATATATATATATATATATATATATATATAATATATATATAAGCATATGCCTAACATTTAGACATAAAAGTCCGCAGATAGCTTTAGTTAGTTTTTCGTTTAACTTATCTGTAAATTGATATAGATCTAATATGACTACGATACATATGATTTCATTTATAGTATTATATATAGGCATATATATAAATTTATAAATTTTTTCTAAATTCGATATAACTATTCTTGTATATGTATGCATGTATATATGTATATATATGTCAATATACATATATAATATATATACATACACAATCACAGATATATATGTGTATGTGTGTAATTTTTACAAATCAATATTTACTCAATATACACACAAACAAATATGCATTTGTGTTAGAATGCTAATTCACGTATGTATAGTGATATGCGCACATTAATATGTCAGTTTTAATCTTTCACCTCCATGGAACAAAATCCATATAAACCAGCTTTTGCGATTTAGTGGATATATATATATATATATATATATATATATATATATATATATTTTTTTTTTTTTTTTTTTTTTTTTTTTTTTCTAGTAAGCGTTCGAGGTCTTTTGTTTATTATGTTACGTAAATATATACACATGGCTTCGTATGTTATGCTATTTTAACCCTACGCATTTGGTATGAGTCACATCTTTTTATATCTGCGAGGATTACTTCACTTAAATGTGTTCAGTTAAGTGACTCAAATATACGTAGAGAGAGAGAGAGAGAGAGAGAGAGAGAGAGAGAGAGAGAGAGAGAGAGAGAGAGAGAGAGAGAGAGAGAGAGAGAGAGAGAGAGAGAGAGATGATCTCTGAAGAAAATATCAGGCATACAAGCACTGTGAAGGTTTTTAATGCTACATCCTTTCCAAATGCTTTGAAATAATTTCGAAATGCATTTAGTTGTACAGAAAAGACGATGAGAAATGAGACAGTTATTAAGAAAATTACTGTCACACGTAATTTTTGTTTAAAGACAAAAAATGAGTTTTAATGTGCAAAGCTTAACGATCTATAAAACCCAAGGCTAGAAGGCTGTAAATCAACCGAGGAAACCAGAGAGTGATAGAGAAGGCACAGGAACATTAGACAACATATGAATATTTTTCTCACTTGATCAGTCCTGGAATCCTTAATTATGATATGAATTATAATCAGTGAAAAAAGGTCTTTAACATTTCCTTGACAGTTACGTAAATATGTACATAATATTTGTGTACATATAGAGCATAGATATATAACATTTTGAAGTAAATATACTCTATGTGTGTGAATATATACATGTTTAAGCATGTATGCACACATTTATGCATATGTATATATATATATATATATATATATATATATATATATATATATATATATTATGTATACACATTCATATACATACATCATGACACTGAATTTCTCCCGAAACATTTTAAATAAATGTTTAAATCTGAATATATGCACAGGCATACACAATTTGTATACTAAAATATATACACGCGTGTGTGCACACACATATATTTCTGTGTATGTACTTTGAAATCATTCAGGATTTCATCACACATGAATTTAGGGAAGACTTATAAGGAACTGCTTATATGTAGTTTTCTTACCTTATTAACATGGCTGAATATATATTCATTCAGCATTAATAACCGTCGAAATTTATCCAAGCGTCTTTTTCTATATCACTATAGATATATGTGAACACATATACTTATATAAATGAATATACATAAATATACAGCATATTTATACACATATATGCATGCAACTAGTATGTTTACGTATATGTGCATACTCACTTATATATACATGTATCTATCTATCTATCTATCTATATAGTTTATATATACATATATCTATTCACACACACACACACACACATATATATATATATATATATTCATATATGTGTATATGCACACATATATATGCTTATATGTATACATATATGCATATGTATGTGTATATATATACCCACGAGCACATATATGCATGCATACATATATGTCTATTACATGTATATACATGTACTATGTATATGCATATTCACATGCACACATGCATACACACACAGTCAACCAATCTATTTAGTTCTTTCAGTATGCAAACAGAAAGGCTGACCTCGGTGAAACACAAATCCATGATTTTGAAATTTGGAATTCTAGATCATTGATAAAATCTTGATGCACATCTTTTACATTCCTCAAAAAACACTTTAATCATGTTTGATAGAAATTCATGTTTTCATATACGAATACTTGTACGTTATCGAGGATGATAATAGTCCTAAAAATCATTCATGAAGTTTATTTGAGAAGGAAAACAGAAAGTGAAGATATTGTCGTGCTGCTTTGGATGTTCTCTTCAAGTAGGATATTCTTATCCGTAATAGCTTCGGCGGTATCCTCCGTAGCCGTAGCCCCCGTATCCTCCATATCCACCTCGTATATCCACCATACCCACCATACCCATAACGTCGGTAGCCAGGATCAGGGTCAGCCACGGGGTCAGGCTCAGGCATGGCGCTGGTCCAGCTCACCAGGCATGCCAGGGCCACCACCAGGGCCAGAGCCATCGAGATCTGTAGACATGGAATTATAGGTTATATTTAAGAAATGATAAAGGCATTTTTGTTTTCATTAGGCATATACAGATTTTTTTTTTTTTTTTTATTTTTTTTTTTTTTTTTAGACATGTGATCTGAAGGTAATACCTCGCATGAAATGAAAGGTATATATACTATTGTTGTAATAGTAGTGGTAATAGTAGTTGTAATTATAACAGAATTAGTAAAAACAGTTGTGGCGATAAGTATAGTCGTTTATAATGATAACTTAATTTATGCAATGCATATCTATCTATATGATTTTAATATACTGATAATTTCGTATATGCTCACCAGCTTCATGTTGAGAGAATGTTTGCTGTGAACTCAGCGTAGACTATGCGTCTACAGCAAGGAGTCACGCCTTATATATGTCACAGGACAACAGCCAAGGCTACCTGCGTAGTTTTCTAGAAGGTCATTATATATAAAAAATATCTAATATATCTCAATATATCTATAAACAAACCTGTGGACACACCAATACACAAACACACACGCACAAACATATCTATAAATCAGTATAGATCCAATATAATACATATACACAATGTCTGTATATATGCCTTTGTATTTATCTGCATATATACAACCACACACACACGACGCATATGATATAAATCAGCGAGTGGGGTAAAAAAAAAAAAAAAAAAAAAAAAAAAAAAAAATCTAGTGACTTCGTTTAAATCTATTCTATATAATATACATCAAATGATTAAATCTAACTTCATATGTTATTCTACCCTTACGTATTTCGAATACTTCGCTTTCTTCTATCTACGATTATGTGTAATTTGAAATATTTTCGTATATATTCATATCCATACTTGCATTGTTTATGTATACGTACAATGTAGACATACAATATATAATAAGTATATGTAATATATATGTATGTATATATATATATATATATATATATATATATATATATATATATATATATACGTGTATTATACATTTAGTGTGTGCCTATATGTTTCTACGTATACATACACCTACGCTATGATATATACATACATAAGTATATATACAAATATATGTATGTATGTATATGCATATGTTACACTTTTACATATATATGAATAAATATAGCAAGAATGAAAAAGAAAAACGCATAGATAAATATTGATGGTTATTAAAGTCGGGATAATAAAATTACAGAAAATTACACAAATGCAGTTCCTCATGTGTGATAACATCCATGGCATTTTCAACTCTTTCTTCAGACTAATAACTTGTGTTGGTGTGAGAAATATCTTTAATCATAGAATTCGCCACAATAACCTCTGTGTCTGTATCCACGACCTTCGTAGCTGTATCCACCATATACACCGAATCGACGGTATCCAGGGTCAACCACGGGGTCAAGGTTAGCCTCGGGGTCAAGCTCAAGCGTGGCACTGCTCTAGCTCATCAGTACTACTTATAATAGCAGAACTATTGAGAGCTATGATTAAAAAGAAAGAAGGAAAAAATAAGCATTCTTATAAATTTCTTTATTGCTATGAGATGATTTTTGTGTTAAATGTCTACGTGTGTAACTTCAGCTAATGTAATCTGAATTATGCATAAACACAAATAATGCTGCTGCTGCTGATGGCGATGACAGCAACGGCTATACTAATACTAATAACAAAACTAATGATAATAACCAACACACTAAAACAATAGCGGTAATGATAATATATCAAGATTCAGAAAACAGTGACATAAGAAGTTTATCAAGGAACACTTTATAGGGAAAACTGATAATTATTACCCTATTTATCTTAAAAAAAAAAAAAAAAAAAAAAAAAAAAAATCATATTCACTGATAATTTTAAGCTAACTGTAAGTCCTATTATACAGTGGTAAGAATTAGCACTGACTTGACCGCAAAGCACTTTTTCGTGACCGTAGCACCACGAGGCTTCGCTCAGGGTACTAAAACTGTTGTCATGGAAAGAATGACTCATA